AGCCTAAAAATAGCTCTGAGCGTGTTTTAAAAGTCATTACAAGTTAATGAAATGACTTGCATGTTTATATTAATTTTAAAGCATTGAAGAAAAGTTTTAAATATCAAAAAGGCCAAGATGGAGGGGTTCTGTCTGGAGTAACATTTTGAAATATATTTCTAGACCACAAAGTTCTTGTACTGAATCCAAAAATGTCCCAATTCTTTTTCTGCACAAGTCTTTCCGTGTTGAAGAGAGAGAAGAGATTGCGGCGTCTGAACAATTAGACAGACACGGAATGTCTGCCGTGGCTCCTTCAGAATCCCTCCTCCTCTTCTTCGTGGTCGGAGTCAGGGATATGCCGTCATATTGGCGAGCATTTTTGAGAGCTTGTGACAGATCCTGAGGTCATTTATTTTATCACTTACCAATGTGTGTCAGACACTTGTTTCAAGTTTTTAAAGAAATTAGCCCACTTGTTCTTCAAGACCCTAGTGCACTAGGCATTGTTGATTTCCATCTAGGAGACGGGAACTTTCAAGGATTTAAGGAGTTTCCAAAGTCACCCCCCCAGATGGAGTTGGGATTTGAACCCAGGCCCCAGAGCCCAACCTTAACCTCCAGCTGTCCTCGACTCCCACTGCCACCTTCTCCATCCCATTGACTTCTGCCCCTGTCCCTTCTGTGACCATATTTGAAGGCCCCATTTTCCAGGTGCAGGAATGAAAGATAGTAAGGTGGAGAAGAAAGTGCAAAAGCCAAGATTCTGCAGTCACACAGGCTCTCCTGCGTGTCGGCTTTGGGCTGTTGTTCTGCTTGTCTAATCCTCGATATAAAATAAAAACGAGTGTGCTCCCTGATGACGCATCCAACCAGCAGTGTGGAAGAGCGCTTATCACCTTGCCTGCATATTCAGCAGCCGATAGACGTTATTTCTTACAATTATTCAAAATAACAAAAAAGAGGAGCTCAAACTACAAAACTGCACAATCTTTTCTTGCCTTGTAAGCACGGACCACATGCCAAGAAAACCACATTGGTGCGTGGCCGCGCGTGGCCAGGAGCCATCCACCACCGGTCAAGTGAGTTTCCTTTTGAGCTTCTGGCCGGAAGGCACTTCCATCTCTAAGAATTTCCCATACAGTGTTTCAAGGAAGCGACGTTCATCCCTAACAGGAAGATGTGACATTCAGCTCCTTTTGTCTTATTTACCCAGGTCTACAGCGTTGACGAGAGGGCGGCAGAGCAGGCTCGGTGGGAAGAAGCTTCCAGAGAAACAATCAAGAGGACCACCAAGCCCTGCCCTCGCTGCCACGTGCCTGTTGAGAAAAATGGTGAGTCTGGGCTGGGCAGGGAGGGAGGGTTTGATGAGCTCTTCTTGGGGAGTGTCGTGGCGTGGCTGTGATGGTCAGGAACTCTACGAGGGCTTGCTAGCTGGGTAGTTCAGTGCGGGGACTTTGGGGCCATCGGGCCAGAGTTCGACTCTCAGCTCTCCCATGTCTGGTATCTTAATCCCCTAAGCGGCAAGTCCTCATCTGTAGCCTAGAGACCTTTAGAGAAGCTGCTCCACACGGATAGACTCATATGATGTGATGGACGGTGAAGGCCCCCGGCGCCTGGCCTAGAGGAAGCACTCAGTTCACACTGACTGCCTTTATCATTATGTATGAGTAACACTATTAACACTTCTCATCTGATTTTAAAAAAAGAAGACGCTGGGGACACGTCTCCGTCCAGCACTTCCCCAGAGTGCCGTCCACAGTGCTCCGGGATCCAGACACACTCACCAGGGGAATGGGGGACATCACCGCGTCAAACACGTTTGGCAGTTGGTCCCCACTCTGTCCCCTCCTGGATGCTAACAACACAAACAACTACCTTGTATGGCGCACTTACTAAATACTGGTTCAAGTTCTCTCCGAGCGTCAGATCACTGACTCCTCGCAGAAACCAAGCAAGGAAGCTACTATTACTTGCCCATTCATAACATTCGTGAAAGCATCGCAACATTCCTTTGGCAAGAAATCTGTTTAACTTTGTCCAACCAATTGGTTCGCAATGTTTTTTGGGCCCTGAAATTCGTTTTTTCCATCTCAGCGATTCGTGTCCCCTTGAACACGGGAACACACTCTGGGCTCCGGGTTCCCCCTCCCTGGTGTGGGCGAGCTGGTGCCTTATGTCGTGGTGACGCTTGGCTCCTTCAGGGAACCACCCTGCACATGAATGTGGTTTTGAATAGGACGTGTGCTTTTGCCTTCTACCAACTCTCTCTCAATGTTAAGAATGTGAAGCGAGAGCTTGGAGATGCCTCTGGATTAAATGACACTGACCCTGGTAAAGGGTCCCGGGAGCCCACCTACGCCTGCTGCTTGGAGCAGGTTTACAGGCTGAGAGACACCAGCATCCGCATCCACGTGGCTCGCCCTGGGGACACTCTAAACCCTGGGCGACGTCTCACAAGAAGCCGGGGCTCCCTCCAGCTACCCGCAGTCACTCACCCCTCCTCGTATCCTGGAGCCACCACGGCTGTGGGAAGACTTGCAGGAGCACCTGCTGGAAGGACTCCCCTCCCAGCTCCGGCCTCCAGAGCCAAGTTGCCCCTGTGCTGCACTGGGGGACATCGAGGGGAGACTCTGGTGACACGTCCATGCTCGTGGCTGTGGGTCTCCCCCCCGTCCACCCCACCCCCTGCTCTGACAGCCGCTCTGTGGTGATGTGGTCTGCGGGCCATTGCTGTGCACCCTCCCTCGCTTCAGCATCACCTGAAGCCCAGCTCCAGCCCGTGTTCCAGGTGTTCCTTTGCACTGCCCCCTCCACAGCGGCCCTGACAGCAGCCAGCCAGCGGGGCACCGCGCCATCCACCTGAAAGCCATCACCGCCCAGCGCCCAGAGTCCTTCCCAAATGTGTGGCACGTCAGCGCACGTGCAGGGGGTCGGCAGCATCAGCACCGAGGAGAAACAGAAGGAAGCACAGGCACCGCTCTTCCCAGGTTCTCTTCTCTGGGCCCCCGTGACACCCCAGGCTGTGGGTGCTGCTCCCGGGCTCGCTGTGGAGTGAAGCCCCACACGCCGTCCCGTGACGGCCCTCAAGGCTCTTTCCCTCAGCTACGTCCTTTAAGTCTTCATTAACACAGACCAGGGAGTGCAGTGACACATCCGGGAGCAGCAGCAACAGGCCGAGTCCCCAGCGTGGCTTCAGTGGTCCCCTGGGGGAGAAAAAGAAATTTACCTGATGAGTCATTGCTATCCCTCCGCGCACTGGAACGTTCTGGAAAACGCGGCGGGCTGGCCCGCACGTCTAAAGAGAAGACGTGAATGGAGTCAGAGGAAAGAGCCCTCCTGGTCCTCACTGATGGAGCCGCATTGCGTACGCGACTGGAAGAGGAAGCTGCAGAGGCCTGTCACAGGAGAGGCTGCCCAAGGTGGATCCCATGGGCCAGGGTTCCATCTCATGGGTCCTTAAAGGATGCAGATGAAACAGTAAGAGGCCATTTTGCTATTATCCCAGGCCAGGAACCTTGTCTGTCTATCCCCTGGGCCCCAAAGAGTGCCTGATATATAAATATTTGTTGAATTTAAAAGTGGCTGTGCTTGATGGAGAAAGCAAGCACAGAGACCTGGGAGGAGTCGAGAGACGGCGTCCTGACAGAAACGATGCCCGAGCCGAGACTGAGAGTCGGTGTGATCAGCCCGACAAGGACGCGGGACAGAGCCCTCCAGGCAGACGGCACGTGCAGAGGCAGGGAATATGAACCATCAACTCCAGGCTGTGCCAGAGGCCCAGCTGTTTGGATTCCAGGGCGAGGATACAGGAGCAGCGCCTGAAGGCTGGAGCGTAGGGCCCTGAGTGACGTGAAGAACTTGGACTTGATTCTGCGAGACAAGGAGCCCTTAGATCCGCCTTTAAGTCAGACCACACCTGCCGCCCAGAAGATGGACCTGAAGGGGTCAAGGGATTCAGGACTATGGAAAGGCTTCCTAATCTGGTTCTTTCTTTGAAACGTTGTGATGTACTATACGTGGAAAGCACCGACTTTTCACTTCTAGATTTTCTAACCTATGAGCTGAAAAGCTGAAACTTTCAGCTTATTAGTGACTGTCTGAGCTGTTCTAAAATATTTCACTGCAGCTGAGACAAATGTAGGCGCCATCGCGAGAAAAGCTAACTTCGTTACCTAGCTCTCAACCGAAATCCATGGCCTGTTTCACACGTAGCAGAATCCCAGACAAAGTAGTTCTTCCTTCAGCAAAGCTGTGATGAGGAGGAGAATTATTTCCGTTTAAACTTGCGCCAAGCCTTGGCGTCGCCTCCTGTAACGCCCTTCACTCGCCGCCAGTCCCTCCTTCGCTTCCGCCCCAAACGGATGAGACCCTGCTGCACCCTCTGCTCCGGGTGTCTGGGCACTTGCACTTGCCCTCGGGCCGGGCCAGAGCTTCCGGCCTCTCATTCAACCCAGCGGGAGAGCCACGGTGCGGCCACGGTGCTGACCGCGCCCAGGCTGGGCTTCCCATGGTTGGAGCCTCCGTCAGGAGACAGAATTCTCTAAGAGGGAAGCCAGATTTTCTCCATTTAAATGTCCACAAATTAGTGTGGCATCAGCAGCAGCCTCTTGCTAGCATTTATTTTTAAGCCACCGAAGCGTCCAGCGTTGGAGTCCCTGGCGCTTCTCTGTACCGCGGGGTCTGGCATATCCCTTCCGTGTAACGAGCCAGGAAGGAAAGAAAGTCACCAACGTGAATACCCACTCTTCCTGTTTCCTTTCTTCTCATTCTACTGTGCGTTATGAGTCTAGTTTCTGTGATAAAATGTTACTAGTTAATGCTAGTATTCCGGATCCCTGAAGACTTCGATATAATAGGAAAACATTCTCAAGCTTTCATTCAGCCTCACTTTTTTCCCCCCATGGAACAAACCCACTTTATTTTCAAAGGGTCTCACGTGGGCATGTGTTCTCTCAGGGCAGGTATTTCAGGACCTTCATCAGTGATCTAAGCACCAGCCTCACTTCAACATGTCATTGAATTTGAATGAACCGCTTAAGCGTTATGACATGCCAGAGAAACTGAAGTGGTTATACTGTGCTAAGCTATTTATTATGTTACTCACATCATCAGTGCACCACCATTAAATATGTGTTGGAAATTACACAGTCCAGTAATTGTGTAATCTCACTTGGGAAATATTAAGATAGAAGTACCTTAAGTGAGTTTTTTCCCCTTGTTTTCCACATATTTATCATTGTTAATGATTTTTAAAGCAAACCAAAAAGAAGGAGAAATGTATGGAATTTTAAATGCCCTTAAGCGATCCTAAAACGAATGCCTTTAGTTACATAGTCATAAATATTTCATACTGGTGCAAGTTCTCATGCCAGGATTCTAATATAAATATGAGACAGTGCTGAAGCAATCGCCTGGAAAATTTGGCCAGAAAAAATGACTTCACAAGATAATTGGTAAAATGGAATAATGAAGCACATGAATGCTATGTAGGATTCTGGTAAAGAAATGGCTTTTGCCTGGATTATCGGGGAAACTCGGCCACGAACAGTTCTGTACTATAACTTGGTATAAATAACTCTCCACTTCACGGCAGACTTGGTGTCTGATCCCCAGAAGCAAATAGTGAACGTGTTTAACAAATGGGAGAAGTAAGGAACCCCAGACAAGTCCCCAAATGAGGGGGTTTTCATCTCATACTGGGAATGCCTGTTCCATGGAAGGAAGCATTAGAGTCACACAGACTGTGGTTAAACCTCCAACTTCACACCTAAAAATGCTCGACCTTGAGAAAATTCAAGAACCAAGTAATACTTTGATCGCACAAGGTGCTTCTGAGGAGTAAATGAGATGACACGTGGGGAGTGCCCAGGATTACTCATTAGTTTCTCTCTATCCTCATCTTAAATAAAAGTTTGAATAGCCGGAAGGAACGTATTCGCTGTAAGATGCATTTAGGCCTGCTGTCCTGTCTTACGAATTTTTTCAAGCCAAGTTAACACTAAAGAAATGATTAAAAATTACTCATACTATATATTGACATTATTACATATTACATATTAAATTGCTAAACATGATATATATTTTAAATATTTAATATATATTTAAATAAGGAATTGACCCCTGTCTGTGAAACACAAAGTGTTTGTCTCTAAATCCCACCTCAGGAGACGTCAGTAAACTCAGGTTCACAAATAAAACCTGCCCTCAATGAAAGTGATGTTCTTCACTCATTTCTTTTGTTTCCTTTATATGATATTTATAATTAGAGTTTATATACAATGCTGTGTTAGTTTCCGATGTACAACATGGTGATTTCATTATATATATGTATATATTCTTTTTCATTATAGGTTATTATAAATTACTGAATATAGTTCCCTGTGCTGTACAGTAGGACCTTGTTGTTTATCTAGTTTGTTTATACTAGTTTGTATCTGCTAACCCCAAACTCCCAATTTATCCCTCCTCTCCTTTGCCCTTTAGTAACCACAGTTTGTTTTCTATGTCTGAGTCGACTTCACTCATTTCTTAATGAATGTCACAACTTTGGAACCTCCTGGTGGGTGTTCTGATTTGTTTCCCTCAGTTCAGATCCTGCCCTCAGCTTGCTTGCGATAATTCCCTTAGAAAGTCACCTCTAGAACGGCATGTTGGCGTGTGGGATCGAGCATCTCCCGGGTGCTGATCCATGTCCTCTGTCTGCCCGCAGGAGGATGCATGCACATGAAGTGCCCGCAGCCCCAGTGCCAGCTCGAGTGGTGCTGGCACTGCGGCGGGGAGTGGACCCGCGCCTGCATGGGGGACCACTGGTTCGACGTGTAGCCGGAGCAGCGCCACGTGGGCAGCACCCAGCGTCCTCCTGTCCCTGTTCCTCTTCCTTTCTCTAAACACACGCACACAGTCACATACACTCACATACATGCACACACGCATGCACACATGCACACAAGCACTTCAAGTTCTTTCCAATGTCACACAAAGTCATGGGAGAAGCTTCTGGAACCCCTTCCCTTGTGCCCATAAGAAACAGCAGAGCTAATGGTGAGACCAGCAGGAAGTATCCTGTGGCCTCAGTGACACAAACACCAGAGCACAGCTGACAGTGTAGTTCACCTTTTGGAGAGATTCTTGAGTGAGTTCAAGTCAGGCTGGGTAAATACATAGAGATTTCTCAGGTTCAGTTACCTACCCTTTAACTTCACCCAATATTGGGAAGAAGCCCTTGGTGAGGGGAGGAATCGTTTCGAGGGACTGTTGTCACTGGTTCTCTGTAAGACCGAACGTGGTAGATTCTGGGAATTCTAATCACGACGTAAAGAGCAGTGCTCTGATTAAAATCGTCAGAGAGCATCTATTCTCAAAGAACCACAGGCAATAATAGTCAAACCTACGTGTTTATCCCCAAGAATTGTATCTTTATGTACTGCGTTAGTGACACATCAGCTATGCATAAATCAGCTTATCAACTAAGTGAGAAATTAGGAAAGTTAAGTTGAATATGGATTGTTCAAATTTACAGGGAAGAAATCAGAACTTGGTGTGCTTTCATCCTATTTAATTATATGCAACTTTAGAAAGAAATTGTTTTTCTGAAAATATGACAACATTTAGAATTCGATTTTAAACCATCATTTTGAGCTTGGAAAATAAGCTCACACATCCAGCATCACTGTAAATTTAATGAACAAGGTGCCTGTTAAGGGCACTTGTAGACATGATTTCATGATGATTCTCAGAGCTAACAAACATGCTGCTCGTTAAAGCAGAATCTTTAAAGAAGGAGCGTTTCCAGGACCAGCAGAATGAAAACATGCCTGTGGGAAAGCTTGTGCCTTCTGCACCCCAGCAGGTCACTCAGGGCTCTTTTCTCTAGGACAGTAACTCGCACTAGAACACTTCCTCATGTTGCCATGGATTGAATTGGATTGCTGCTCAAGTTTTCATCGCATTTTTTTTTCTTTTTGAGGCATTCGCAACACATCAAAAAGAGATATGTTTACACTAAATGCAGCAAACCTCATTCTCTCAGCACAGTGTGTGGATTGAAAAGTGTAACCAAGGTCCTTTGTTCTCACTGTCCGCCTTCTCAGGAAGACCGTGACCAGCACTGAGGGTGTAAGGACTTTCACTAGAGCATGGGGTTTCTTTTGGATTTAGGGACCCTGGGAATTATGAAATCAGCAGTGGACCTTCTGTTCGTAGATGTAGCACCAGAAATCCTTGCTGGGAGGCGAGAGGGAATGACCTCAGCAAATTTGCCCCGGACATCTGTCCCTCTGTCCCTAACCATCCATCCAGGGACCGTCCCTCCTCTCCCCCTTCCTCAGAGGAGCTGCAGCTGGAACAAGATTGGGGGGGGGCTTTTCAACAGGAACAGCCTCACGTGGCTTAACTCAGAAAATCCAACCCCCCAGCATGGCCCCAAGGCTGCCAGCCCCCTGTCAGGGAGCCTATAGATGGTACAGAGATGATGGAGAGCCGGTGCCCTGAGTGAGGGAAAGGCGGGTCACCAGGCTGGAGCCGCCACATGCCAGGGACCGGCATCTGCGCTCAGCCTGGAACCCACTCAGACTCTGACTGCACATTTCCCACAGTCCCAGCAAGTAGTATCTCCTTACGCTGCTCGGGGTACAATCAGACGGTTCCCTGTGACGTGGGGAGCCCCCTGCGTTTCACCCCCTGCCTTGCTTTGGGGTGTAATGACCTCGCTGTTACTGCCTCCTTCCCTGTCTGCCTGGCGCGTGGGCCTGAGCAAGGTCTGCCCCCTCCCCTCCGGGCAGCAGGGGGCCTAGTCTCTGCGCCTTTCCTGGTGGTAGTCTTTTGTTTTATTTTTTTTCAAGATAGACCACTGATCCTTAAAGAAACAAGGGCCGCTATCAATGAACGTGACCCACAAACCACTATAAATGAACTCGTCTGAGCACTGGATGACGTCACAGAATGTGAATCTGTCAAAAGAATAGAAATAAAGTCTTTGCTGAAGAATATTTTCCTCTGAGGTGTGTAAAGACGCACTTGACAACGATGTCTAAGACTGTACTCAAATCGTCAATAAAAGCATCAAAAGTGCTTCTGAGTCCATCGTTGAGGCTATGTTGTCAGTCACTGTCGGAGGTGCGGGAGGGACGCCCTGGTGGCCGGAAGGCATGGCCCGGGGAGGCCGTGGCCTTCGCGCCTCTGTCTTGAGCTCCAGGTTCACCCTGGTGGCTTTTTTTCTAAGATAAAGTAGTTTCTTTAGTGCTACCAAATTTGGAAGGGCTCTAAAAAGCAAACCGTCATTTAAAAATCCGACGGTTGCTTTCCCGACTTCTCAGCAAACTTTC